TTGTAACAGCTTTCTTCACAGCTAATAAAAACTCTCTTGAGATCTTTGTGTTTGCTTGCTTTCGACAGAACTTTACAAACCCTAGAGAATCACTTAGATTCTAATTGTGAGATTCGACCGCCACAAGCTTCTTGAAAACGGGAGTTCGACTCCATATTTTCTTATAGAGTTGTACAAGGTTGTGGATTTCATTGGGAAAAAACCAACAAATTTGAAAGATTCAGTAGGATTTGCCATATAGTCTATTTTGTTTGTAGGTTGTACACAACCAATTTTCTTTGAACAGAAAAATGTAACTGAGAGTTGGATGGTGATATCGAACTACTATTTAGCTTGATTGCTGCTAATAGGTAGCTGAAAAGCAACACCTAACATTTTATAAGGAAAAAATAATTCATAAAGTAATTAAAGATAAATAATGCAAAGCGATAGTACAAGGAAATGTTAAAGGGTCATAAAAAAAAAACATATGGCTCGAAGTAGTGGGTTGGTAAGAAGGATTCATTCAAACACTTGCATGTCTACATGCTCTTTCCTATAATTGTAGTAGGCGATGACTCCAGTGGCGGAGCTACTTGGGAAGGTGGGGGAGGGGTCAACTGACCCCTATAAATTTACAAAATAGTATATAGATGCCTTGTTGACCCCAACAAACCAGGCTCGACACCTTAAACTGACGTTTTACATGTTTGATTTTTATGGTTACGTTTTTTATTATACAGCTATTTTTATGCCATGATTGATTCTTGTGATAATTGTAAAAATGCTATTTTTTGTGTGCACATTTGCAAGAATGCCACTTAGAGGTGTCCATTTGCAAAAATACCACTAATTATAGATTATAAAACCTATATCTTAAAATTTTAAACTCTAAAAAATGTTTTGATCCCTAAAAACCCTAAACACTCAAAACTAAACCCTAATACAACATAGTTAACTCAAATATAAATTATATAATGAAAAAATAATTATTAGAAAGTGGCATTTTTGCAAAGATTTTGAAAATGTGGCATTTTTGAAAAGTGGTACTTGGAAAGTGGCATTTTTTGAAATTTTTCTTGATTCTTTGATCTATTAGTTTATTTTTTTTTCAGTTTCTCTTTGACATGTGATTTTTTTTGCCGACCATTTTATTTTTTTCTACTAAATATGAGATATATTTAGATCTTATTATATAAAGTGTGATGCATCAAACATAATAATTAATATGATACGTGTTAGTTAGTCGTTAGAATTTTGATAAATGATAAAAAAAAATTATAATTTGATTTTGCCACATGTCAAATAATAAAAAAATAAATCAGTTATATTTTCTTAAAAGAATATTATAATATAGTCTAAAATCTTTTGAGTTTGAATAGAGTTAGGTTTACAAGCCCAATCTTCAAAGATGATAATATTTCACATTTACTTAAACATTTGTGCTTTCTCCATCTTCTCACCAAATAATTTAAAATTTCAATAAATCTCTTCCAATAAAAATTGTTTCGACTTTTTCATCATAAAAAAATGATTACTATCTTTTTCGATAATAAAATTTTATTATTTACAATATAGATATCATCACTGATATGAGGTGATCTAATTTAATTTCTCTTTTTTTATGAATAATATAATATTAATAAAGTAAAAATATTTTATTTTGCAAAATTTGATTCGTCCATGTTATATTAATCTTATCAAGTCATCTTTGACTCAATTGATCAAATATATATAAGCGTAAAATAATTCTTTCAATTAAGTTTAACCACATGTCAAAAGATTTATCTTTCTAAAAATCACAATATCTTTATTTTTA